GGCAGAGGTGGCAGCAGATCAAATCTCTCCTTTTCCACCCAATATTTCATTGGAATGTCCCAAGGCAGAGATGGCAGCAGATCAGATCTCCTGTTTTCCACCCAAAATTCCACTGGGATGTCCCAGGGCGGAGGTGGCTGCAGGTGACCCACCCCTTACCCAGCTGGGTGGGGTAAGGAGAGCAGCCTTCAGCAGCCCAGTGACCATCCCTTGGGATCTCCACGTGGATAACCAGGAGCATCCCCAGAGCTTCAGCCCCAGCCCTGCCCAAAGCCTGGCTTTGAGAGGCCTGGCCTGAGCCTGAGGGAGGTTTAGTGCTAAAATCAGCTTGGAATGTTCCAAAGAGTTCCTTGGATGTCCCAAAGAGCAGCCTGGATGTTCCCCAGAGTTACCTGGATGTTCCCAAGAGCTGTCTGGATGTCCCAAAAGCTCCTTGGATGTCCCAGAGAGCTCCTGGATGTCCCAAAGAGCTCCTTGGATGTTCCCAAGAGCTGCCTGGATGTCCCAAAGACCTTCTGGAAGTCCCAAAGAGCCCTTGGATATCCCAAAGAGCTCCTTGGGTATCCCAAAGAGCTCCTTGGATATTCCCAAGAGCTCCTTGGATGTTCCAAAGAGCTCCTTGGATGTCGCAGAGAGCTCCTGGATGTCCCAAAGAGAAGCTTGGTGTCCCAAAGAGCCCCTTGGATGTCCCAGAGTTGCCTGGATGTCCCAAAGAGCCCCTTGGATATCCCAAAGAGCTCCTTGGACGTCCCAAGAGCCCCTTGGATGTTCCAAAGAGCTCCTTGGATGTCCCAGAGCTCCTTGGATGTTCCCAAGAGCTGCCTGGCTATCCCAGAGAGCTCCTGGATGTCCCAAGAGCCCCTTGGATGTTCCAAAGAGCTCCTTGGATGTCCCAAAAGCTCCTGGATGTCCCAGAGAGCTCCTTGGATGTCCCCAGAGCTGCTCCAAGCGTTGTGTTTCCCCCCAGGTGGATTCATCAGCTTCAACGGCTCGTGGCGCGTGCAGGGCATCCTGGCCATGTCGCGCTCGCTGGGCGATTACCCCCTGAAGAACCTGAACGTGGTGATCCCCGACCCCGACATCCTGAGCTTTGACCTGGACAAACTGCAGCCAGAGTTCATGATCCTGGCCTCGGACGGGCTGTGGGACGCCTTCAGCAACGAGGAGGCCGTGAGGTTCATCAAGGAGCGCCTGGACGAGCCGCACTTCGGGGCCAAGAGCATCGTGCTGCAGTCCTTCTACCGGGGCTGCCCCGACAACATCACGGTGATGGTGGTGAAGTTCAGGAGTAGCAGCAAAGCAGAGGAGCAGCAGTGAGGAGCCCCCGGGCCCGCTCAGGACTCAGAACAGTTTGGCCGTGCTGGGAAGCTCCGGGAACGCCGCGCGGGCGCTCCCGCGGCAGCCGGTCCCTCCGGGCTCTGCTCGTGGCTTGGCAGAAGGAGCAATACAACGAATCCACGCTGAGCGACCACAAGAATCCAGTTTGTCCCCGTGTCCCCGCCCCGTGCCCTCGCTGCTCCCTCGGAAGCTCCCGTTTCACACGTTTCTTTAGGAATCCCGTGTAGGTTTTTGGTTGGGTCGGTCCCCCGTGGTGTGGCAGCCCCTGGCACGGCGGGGTCAGGGCGGTGCTGCTGCTTTTCCCTGGTGGTGTCACCGCTCAGGAGCTGCCCTCGTGCTCCTCATCTCTGGAAGGGTTTGTGGTGTGAAGGAGGAAGAGGAGCCAACTCTCAGCCTGCTGCCACTGCTGGCTCTCGCTTTGTTCAGCCTCACCCCAAAATAAAGCCCTGCCAAGCATGTGAGTAGGTAGAGCTCCTGAATGCCCACGTTGATCCGGGCGTGCGTTACTCCAGAGCAGCTCTTCTAGGCCATATTGTATCCAAACCAACTCACGGTGAACTTCAGCAAAGCCCTGGGAGTTCTGAACCTCCTGGATGGGAACAGAGCTCAGCAGCGATGGCAGAATGTCTGTCCTCCACCAGGAATCACCCTGACCTTATTTCTGCGGCGCAGACTTGGGAAGTGATGTGAGGGAAAATGGATTTCCCTGGTGACTGTTGGGAAGCTCACCCAAGCAGGGCATTCCTCGGAGCTACCTAGCTGGAAGTCAAGCTTGTGGAAGACTTCCAGATGGATTTGTGGTGTTAATCCCAGGGCAGACCCCTCTGGAACGGGTTTTTGGGATGACATGCAAATGCCAGGCAGCATCAACGCACTGTAGAGATGAAAGGTTGTGTTAAATCTAGATTTTAAAAGTATGTTTAGATCTAACTTTCAATATTTAATTGTATTTTGGGATCTGTGACTGCTGTAGGTTGGAATGAGGAACAGTTTGGGTTTGCTGCACCTCTGGTGCCAGCTGTGTCATGGCAGAGGGACAGGGCAGGCAGGATTTTGGGTGGCTGCTTTATGCTTATCCTGCCTTACAGAAGTCCTTGGGATCTCCCAGAACATGGTCCTGGACCATCTGCTCAAGTCTCCAGGGCGATGGAGGCTGCCTGTGCTTGGCTGTGGAGCTGGGTCGGGGCTGTGATGGATTCCTGGCCGTGCCTGTTCCTTGGGGAAGGAGAAATATTCCTCATTCCCCAGCTGCCTGCCCCCCGCTCACCTGCAGGGCTCTGGGGTGGGGCTGAGCTGTGTGGGGAGGTGCTGAGGGGGTCGGGGTCTCTCAAGGCAAAAACTCAAAGAGCACAAACTTCTGCTCGAGAAGGAATCCCCCATCTTTGTCTTGTTTTGCCCCTAGGTCAGCTCTCCCCCAGCAAACTTCCCTCCTTTAATTTGTCTGGGGATAATCTCAGCCCTCAATTGGCTCTGGTGGCATTTCCAAAATGTGTCTGGACCCCTGTGCTCGTGCTGAAGTCCAGGGAGAGCCCTGAGCAGTGTCCAGCAGCCTCTGTGCAGCAGGGATGGGATGGGATGGGATGGGATAATGGGATGGGAT